ACCACTGTAATTGAAGCAATAGTGGCATAGATATCAAAAGTATTTCTCTCACTGATAGCAGACAGCTACCTCCAGAGTATTTGTGTGGTGGTTTCAACTCCAAAGTCTTCTTCAGTAACAATATAATATTCTGTTCCGGATTATAATTTCAATAAACTATTCCATGCTTCTAAATTAACACACATTAGTGACAATATATGCTATAGTCACAATGCAAAATCCCTGAAAATTGTATCTATACATTTCACGGTGCCTTGTCCTCCTTTGCCATTAGGACATCTGGTCACTCTGCCCATGGAGCTGTGGTACCTGCAGCCAACAGGCCCTAACTGAATAGGTATTGCTGCCTCAGGCCTTCCACAGGCCTTGCCAGGACATTTCTCTGGAGTAGGTGTTATTATCAGTTTCCTTTTCCCAAGTAGGGCTGAAACAGGAGGCTCAAGAGTTGGGTCTCCAGTCTGAGGATTTCACATTGGTGATTCCTTTTGCCCCCACTCCATGCTGGAGCTTCAGTGCAGCCCTGTTCCACCTCTGAAGAGACCTCTTCTGCTTGGGTCTCTAGGCACAGGTGGATCTTGACACCAAGATTCAGTGTCATAGTGAGAAACAAATAACATAGGGCTAGTGTATGATGTAGCTTGCTGTGTTAGAGCCAAGAGCATGTGAGGTTCTAGATTTGTGGCCCCATGATTGATTCTGAGAACAAACGGTGAGCTAGAACAATCTTGCATGATTCACAAGGGCTGTTTCCACTCACATGCCTTCAAATAGGTCCATTTAGAGAGAACTCCATATTGGTGGCATGTAATGCTGACTTCGTTCTACTCTTGGGTAATCTATGTCAGGAATTAAATTGTGGTGTCAGCAAGACTGGTCTTAAGTTTTGTATGCTTCTCACATTTGCATGAACCTCTAATTGAATGGCCATTAAAGAACATTTATTAGATAATTGCATGTATAGAGCTTAGGGCTATACATGCCTACCCATGCTTTTTTAGAAGCAAGTCCCTAGGATGCATGTTATGAATTATAATGTCAGTCAAGTAAAAAAAGATTGATTAAAAATAGTTCAATCAGTTCAAAAGCTATCTCTGCTTAATTGCTTTCCCCCCCCCATGTCTGTTTAGATGCATTTAGAAAAAATATGGTTGGCAGGTACCCTCTTCCACAGGTATTGCCCTCTTGCCTCATATACCTGAGGGAACACCTCTTCCAAGACAGTACCTACTGCAATGTGTGTGTAACTAATTGACTAAAAAGTGCAGAGGCAATCTGTTATTTAAGATTGTGTCATGGCACAAATATCATTTCTAAACTGCTGTCAGGTTTACATTTGTACAGGATGCTGCATGATGCCAGAGCATTACCTCTGAGGATGGATATGGCTATATTAGACATTAATGTTTCTATGTGTTGCTAAATGCACTTCATAGAGTAACATAGGGGGGATGCAGACAAGGGCGTCCAAGACGCCCTGGTCCGCAGCGCCGCGGGGCCAAGGCAGCCTCACCGTGGCGCTTCTCCGCCGAATCTAAAAGGAGTGCCAAATTGGCGCTCCTTTTAGATTTAAGGGAAAGTGCGCCCCAAAAGCGGCGGGCGCACTTTCCCTGCCTCAAACGCCGTGGCGAGTGCAGTCACCGCGGCGTGAGGTCAACCCGGAAGCACCGGCCGTGCGGATGGCCAGCGCTTCCAGAGGCGACCTCAGGGAGAGGAAGGGGCGCCGAACGTGCGGCTGTCCCTCCTCTTCCCTGCCCGGAAGACGACTCTATTAGTCGTCTGCCGAGGCAGTTTGTGAGTTTATAGACTAACTTTGAAATCAAATAAGAAACTCCAACTGTTTGTCTATTTAGAGAGTAAAGAGTCTTCTCAAGCATTTCTGTCAGGCCCTTACAAATTCTGTGGGTAGCTCACATAAGTCTTGCCAAATGGTGTAAAGAATTTTACTGCTTCCATCATTGGTTCTCCCAGATTTCTAAGCAACTGCAGTAAAATTATCCTTAATCTTCAGCATACATAGACAATTAACTCACTGAATGGAGAAATGGTCCAGAAGGATGCCATGGTGTGATAAGGTACTACTTGAAAAAAAGGTTGTCTTCATTCAACCCACGTGGCTGTGGAAAAACATGGGCTCACATCTGATGTTGTCATGTGAGCTGTGTTGAGCTTCACCCATCATTCTGGGCCATCTTGAATTATTATCTGCCTCAACCCCTTGACTTCAAAATACAAACCATTTTATCAAACAAAACCTTTTATCTCTGCTACTTCAGGCTTTTTTTCTGCTGCTGTGTGTCTTGGCCAAATTATTACTTTTCCAAGAAAGGAAAATCTGTAACTTTTGTTCAATGTATTTTGTGTTATTTTCTTCTCTCTCATGTAGCTATTCTTGGCATGCATACCCTGATGAGTAATCAACAATATTATGAAGCACTTGGAAGCACAACTATAGTCAACAAAGAAGGATTGGACAGTAAGTAACATTTACATCCTCACCAATTCTGAAGACTTGAGCAAACTGATGCAATGTTATTCATGCTTATTGAATACATACACTGCATTAAGTGAGTTAACACTAGCAACTGTTCTGGGATGTGTCCTGAAAAGCCAGTGTATTTTTATAAAATTGCAAGAAGATTCCCTGGTGAGTGATCTACACGGTCCTTTGTTTAGTCTTGGAAAAGCAAACTTCTCTCTTAAGAAGTGGTGACCAAAGGAACATCATATATGTTGACAGCAAAGGACTCCATATCAGCAGATCTGTTCCACCTCTCCCACTCAGAAATATTCCATCTTTGCACAAAATTTTGCTTGTGACTTTTTCTTTGCCATTATTTAAAAGACTTTTTCAAACTCCCCTTTCAGGTTGTATTGCCCTCACAAGGCAGCTTACAAAATTTGGAAAACATTAAAACATGGTGACAGTTAAACATGCAGATGCAGGCAGTAGCAGCAGTAATGATTTCTTGGCACCAAGTATAGACTGAAATAAATGTGTTGTTTTAAAGGCAGCTATGATGTACTTAGAGATATCTCCCTAGGAAGGAAGTTCCAAAATTGTGACGCCACCATTGAGACAGGCTCATTCTTTATAGCTGCTAGTAGTTGTGTGCCTTCAAGTCATTTCCAGCTTATAGCAACCCTGAGGCAACCTTGTCATGGGGTTTTCTTGGTAAGATTTGTTCAGAAGGTTTTGCCATCGCTGCCTTCTGAGGCTGAGAGAGAGACTTGCTTAGGGTCACCCAATGGATTTCCGTGGCTGTTACAGGGATTTGAATGCTGATCTCCTGGAGTCCCAGTCCGGCATTCAAACCACTACACCACACTGCCTCTGAATAGTTGCCAGCATAATGCTTAATTGCTCTGATGGATAAGGCCAAAGAATAGGGCCTCCAATGCTGAACTTAATGTTTGGACAGGTTCATATGAGTAATAGAAAGTTTTTCAGATAGCATGGTCCAGCCATTTGGGGGCTTTAGAGCCCAGCTCCTTGAGGTAAGCTCAGAACAAAAAAGGCAGCCAGTGTGAATTATTCTGAATAGATGTAATATGATATGAGCACTTGAGTGCCATGTATGTTCTGTCTTCCACATTCGATAGCTAGATATGCCATGGTTGTTTTCAGAAATTTATCATAGTATGTCCTTTTCACAATCCAGTATGATACTTAATATTTTACTAGGTCTGTTTTCTAGCTGTTTGCTCTGAAGTGGCTTCTGAAGTTTACCACTCACATTTCCCACATTCTGTAACCATAACAGTTTCTAAAACTATCTTCAAGGAGAGCCCCATGTAGAATGCATTGCAATAATCTAATCAGGACATAACCACTGTGGCTAGATTTGGTTTTCTCTAGGTACGTTCATGGCTGCCAAAAAGCAGTCATGACCGGTGATGCCACCTCCACTTCCTCAGACAGATCTGACTTCAAGACACTCCCAGACTGCATACCTGCATTGTAAATTATTTTGTGTAGACAGAAGCTACCACTAATGAGGGCCATTAACAATCCAGTGCTTAGGGATCTAAGAAATCAATCTGAAGCTGATGAAATCAAGTCTGATAGGGAGATGTGCAGGAGAATTGCTGAGATCCAGTTCTAGGTTTACAGAAAACAAGACTGAAGTTTCCAAGCTGGCATGAGCACCTTATACAAGGAGTGACAGATGTTGCTTCCAACAGCTGAAGAGTGCTTGCTGCTCACCTGATCGGCAGAGACTAAATATTAAACGAAAACAGCTCTGGCAGCTCAGAGCTGCAGATGTGTTGGGCCTCTTCCCAAAAACTCTTGTGTTGCTGCTATCTCAGAGGGAGGGATGGCAATCTGATCCTTTAGAGGGAGTATGGGCCCATCCAGATCAAGACAGAAATATCTAGATTTTGGGGTTTCCCAACTCCCATTACTTTTGTCTTATTCAGATTAATTTTCATCTTTTTAGTCTTTGTCCATTGCAATGCTTTCCCCTGGCACTTGTCCAGGGATTCAGCTCCCGCTCCAGAATTAGAGGAACAAAGAGAGAGGTCCAAAACACACTGCAGAAATAATCCAGTTTGACACTGCTCTAAATGCCCTGGCTCAATGTTAGGGAATTCTGGGAACTGTAGTTTTGTGAGACATTTAATCTTCTTTGTCTGGTGCCACAATAAACAACTCCCAGGATTCCCTAGCACTGAGCCAGGGCAATTAAAGCAGTGTCAAACTGGACTATTTCTGCAGTGTTTTTTGGACCATAGACTTGCATATTGTGACACCTTAACCTAAACTTATGGATAACTTTTCCTAACTTCCTTGATGTAGATATTGAAAAGCAAGAAGGGACCTTGAAAACTCTATGTATCAAGTGGCTAAAGGGTAGAACAAAAATCCTCCAGTACAACCATTTGGGTTTGTCCTCTCACGAGGAATTGGAACCATTCAACACCATGCCTCAAGTTACATCCTAGAAAGAGAATCCAGAGTAGTACTAGGGTCAGTGGTCTGAAAACGAAAAACCAAGAGGGTTAAAAGACCCCATTTTTTTCTTAGTGCAAGTCACTAAGTGTAAGGCAATTTGTATCCCAGTGCCAGGAAGCTGGAAGCCAGACTGAAAGAGATCTAAATAATTAGATCTATTCTAAACAATTAGCGTCTTCCAAACCTGCTTAGAGCCTACAGGGCACTGTCTACACCTTGACCTTGCTCAGAACAGGTAAATATGAAGCTAATCCAAGCTTAAGCTCCAATTACAGATGCAGAAAAAGAAACTTAAAGATTCTATGCTGGAGTCCAGGATGGAATTGATCACATTCCAAAATAGGACTTTTTATTAATAATAGACCATTGGAATGCAAAAGTAGGAAATAGAATAAATTCAAAGATTGTAAGAGAATTTGGACTGGGATCAAAAAATGAAACAGGAGAGCCACTGCAAGGTCAATAGTTTGTTCATTGCAAACACATTCTTCAAGCAACCCAACAAGCAGCTATATACATGACATCACCTGATGGGCAATCAAAAAATCAAATAGGCTACATAATTGGAAGCAGAAGATGAAGAAGTGCCATTGTCTCTGCAAAAAGAAGACCAGAAGCAGATTGTGACATGGCTATGAACTACTAATATAAAAAATTAGAATAAAGCTACAGAACACTAAACAAATCATCATGCCAAAATACAACATGAAGAACATCCCCATAGAATTTAAAGGTAATATGAAAAACAACTTTGAACCATTAACCCTAATTGACTGAAAGCCAGAAGAACTCTGAACTGAAGTCAAGGACATTGTCAGGGATGAATGCAAAAAGACACTATTTGTAGCCAGTGGCATCACTGGGTAGGGGAGTGTGTGGTGGTGTGGACCGCACTGGTTGACACAAGAAGGGGGTGTCACCCAGTGGGTTAGTACACCCTAGGGGGGAGGCGGGTGGCTGCCTTTCGGGTGCATGGCAGTGAGATGGGGGCCATGCGCGACCTGCCATCATGGCCGTCCAAGTCCCATGAGCCCATGGCCACATGGGACTTGAAAGACAGAGGGAGGCAGCTGTCTTCTGGGTCCCACACAGCCATGGGCATGTGGTACTCTGAAGGCTGGAGGAGAAGTGGCTGCCTTCCGGGTCCTATGTGGCCATAGCCACACAAGACTTGGAAGGCTGGCAGGCTGAGCGTGGCCCCCACCTTGCTGCCACAGCGCCATTCTAGCAGCAAAGGGGGTGTGTGCCCTTTTGGCCCCAGCCTCAGAAGCCCTGCCTCCTACACCAGGTGACTCCCCAAGCAGGGACGCCACTGTCTGTAGCCAAAAAGAAAGAGAAGCCTCAATGAAACTCTTCAAGCAGTTAAGGACAAATGAAAAGCAAAAGTAAAAGATGACAGAAGTAGAGTCAGAATCCTGAATGCAACTATTCAATGACTTGGGTGCAGAGACAAGGAGAACTATTATAATAATGCAGAGAAATAGATGATGACAACAAAAGCGGAAGAACAAAAGATCTCTTCCACAAGATCTGAGAAATCAAAGGAAATTTAAACCAACAGTGGGGATGTTCTATGCCCAGCAGTAGAACACATTATATGAATAAAAAGATGATGGAAACAATACATGGAAGAACTACATAAAGGAGATGAAAGAGTTACATATTCATTCAAAGAAGAACCATATGAAGACAAATCTCCAATTTCAGAAAGTGAAGTTGAAGCTACACTCAGAGCACTTGGGAGAAACATATCACCAGGAACAGATGGCATACCAATAGAGCTACAGTCTACAGAGACAGCATCTACTCTAGTTCTAAATTAAATCTGCCAACAATTATGGAAAACAAAACAATGGCCCACAGTTTGGGAAAGTTCAATACATTCTAGTACCCAAAAAAATGGGCAGCAAGGATTGCAGCAACCGCAAGACCATTACATTAATTTCCCATGCAAGCAAAGTGATACTCAAAATTCTACAACAAAGACTTTTACATATATGGAGCAAGAACTACCAGATGTCCAAGCTGGGTTCAGGAAAGGAAGAGCCACTGGTGATCATATTGCAAATATATGTTGATTAATGGAGCACACCAGAGAATTTCAAAAGAAAATCAGTTTATGTTTTATAGATTATAGCAAAGCCTTTGTTTTTATGGACCATGAAAACTTGTGGGTTGCTCTTAAAGAAATGGGTGGGCCACAACATTTGATTGTCCTGATGAGTAACCTGTACTCAGGACAGGAGGCTACTGATAGGACAGAGTATGGAGAAATGGAATAGTTTCTAACTGGCAAGAGAGTCAAGCAAGGCTGCATTTTATCTATTTAGCAGCACTAAACTTGGAGGAAGGAGGTGTAAAAATTGGAGGCAGGAACATCAACAGTTTAAGATATACAGATGACACCATACTACTAGCAGAAAATAGCAAAGACTTGGAAAGATTCCTGAAGAAAGTCAAGGAAGAAAGTGCAAAGGCAGATTTACAGTTGAGCATTAAGAAAGGAAAAATAATGACCACAGGTTATTTACATAACTTTAAAGTAGGAATGAAGACATTGAAATAGTTCAAGATTTTTCATAGCTTGGCTCCATCATTAATTAGAATGGAGACTTCAGTAAAAAAATCAGAAGAACACTGCAGCTTGAAAGGGCAGCTGTGAAGGAACTAGACAAGATCCTGATGTGTAAAGCTATGTCTTTGAATACTGAGGTTAGGATTGTCCATGCCATGGTATTTTCTATTTGTATGCATGGCTGTGAAAACTGACAGTGAAGAAAGATGATAGAAAAAAAATAAACTCATTTCAAATGTGATGCTAGAGAAGAGTTCTGTGGATATTGTGAACTACTAAAAAGACAAATAAATGGGTCCTAGAGCAAAACAAGCCATCCTGGAGGCAGGGAAGAGGAGGGGCAGCCTCACGCTTGG